AGATAGATAGATAGATAGATAGATAGATAGATAGATAGATAGATAGATAGATAGATAGATAGATAGATAGATAGATAGATGATAGATTCTCTATACATATATTTATGCACATTTTTGGATTATAAAGATATTATGATTCAAGTGGTAAAATTTACCATTAACCTTTTAATTAGGTTATAGCTTATAGAAAAACATTCTTGATGAGGTAAGGACATGCAATATCAGGGGTTTTCAATTCAACTGTATAGAATGTGAAGGATATGTGTTTTTGTTTTATTTTTTATGTATAATGTACACTGAAGATGGTATTTAATTTGATTGTATGAGGTGCAATGACAATAAAGTAAACTATAACTATTATTGCTAAAGAAAGTATTGATCCATTTCTAAGCCACTCTTTTAAGAATTTCTACCACCTTGAGAGTTGATATATAAATAATTAAAATCCCAAAGAAGCCAAAGCAATTAATAACATTATGTCCATAATTCCTATGCCCCACCCACACAATGTGGTTGAAATCAAATTGCAAGTTGTGCATCACCTATTGGAAAACTTTGTCTGGGACACTACTATAAAAATGAAAGTCTCGTCTTGTACTTTAAAAAAATTAACCCTATTATCATGGCATTAAAATGTAGGGGTGTCCATACCTTATTACCAGCACCTCCAACTCTCACCACACTGTCAGGCTTCATTGCACTAATGCAATCATTTACCATCTTGCTGCTATGTGATCTTGTGGTGGTAATGATATGCTGTCCAGCTGGTACCTCTTTCAGCTGAAATCCAAAGGCACCCAAACCAAGGATTCCCCATATTGTCCTGCCTAGAACTGCATCTGCACCTGCCTGAAAAAAATATTTGAACATTCTAGTTTCTATTTTGAAAAATAAACAAAAGGAGTAAATATATATGATGGTTGAGCCGGCAGATAAAAATCAATGGAATTCAATGTTGGGTGGACTTAGATCTCCAGGAGGCGTGAAGGGATTTGAGACTGACACATCCCTCGGGCTCAGACTGGTCATTTCCTACAGTATATGAAGTCTGAAATTTGGATTTATGCTGGTCCTAAATCTGACATGGGTGTACATCCTTTTAACTAGGGCAATTTAAACAGGAAAAAAGGACCATTCCTCCTTCTAAGTAACCCCATTATTCTAATTAATTAGAAGTGATATGCAGTAAAATAGAAGAACATTAAGAAATTAAAGCATTTCCTACTTCATAGTTGTAATATGGTTGA